ACACACACACACACACACACACGACATACACATTGGCTAATGGATTTGAAACAAAATTACATGACAATTCGTACTATGTGTATTTGTTCAGTAAAAAACAATATTGGATCCAACATGTTGAAACAGCTCATTACTTCTCGTGCGCAACTCTCTTTTGTACTAAATAGGTACTGTACATAAAGAAAAGAAAATAAAGAGTTTAATATTACTGAACTTACATATTTGTGTGTGTTTAATTCCCGCAGATAAATAAAATGTACACTTGAAATGTGATTATAAATATTATTATTTATATAATTGTTATATAAATGAAACTGTTATATGTTAATTTCAAACAAAAAACTCTAGTCCTCCCAGCTGTGAGTAATACTCCGTAAATCTGTTTCAACAGAGATAAAAATAGAGTTTTTTAAAACAGATACAGACCACGTCAGCTAAAATTCTCTTTTGTTCGAAGATTGTTCGAATCTACGTAGGTTCTGATTCTTTGACTAAACGAGTTTTTTAATTACTGTATTCACAATGAAATTTCACGATCAAATCTCTAGTGAAACTTTCGGAATCGAATATGTAATCAGTATACAATTCCCTTTCCATCCTTTTTTTGCACACAATTTCAATTACACATTTAATCAAAAGTAATAATTCATACTAAAAATTTTTTACATTAACATTAATGAGAAACATGATTCTATATATTTTTAAATACTTGATTATACGCGAGTGACTCGAATCGTTTTTAATGTCTTTGTGTTTGAAGTTCCGATATTTGCATATCACGTATGTCTCAAGTCCACATATTAAGACAGTGAGTATTTAAAAAACGGAATCTCATTACATAGCTGCGTGTACATTTTTATGAGAACTTCTGTGAGTATTGTGAACAATTTATTACTTATGTTTTTCTATTCGCTGGAAGATAAGATCGAATTTTTGTTGCAATTTCACTACGACAAAAGTAAAAATTTGTTCAGCAAAATTATTTATTTTTTCCACGCTCTCGTTTTTTTACGCGCTTAATACGTGCGCAGTATATTTATTAAAAACTAAGTGAAGTTCTACGTGTGTGTAAATTTGCGAGCAAAAAAATTAAAAACAAAAAAAAAGATGTTTCCGCCCGGGATCGAACCGGGGACCTTCCGCGTGTTAGGCGGATGTGATAACCACTACACCACGGAAACACCACGATGAAGGGTTGCTAGCAAACGAATTTTATGAGAAATATTATTTCTGATTTATTTGAAATCTAGCACAAATAGCATATCTATTATGTGTTATCTAATTGCCCCTGTTGACGCAAGAACGCAGAAAAAAATATTATCGCTTGGAATATATATCTGCACAAGTTGCAAATTATATACGTACTACATATGTAACATCGTAACACATGAATTCTTATTTAATATATTTCGTTATATTCTCTATTTGAACCAATATTTTGCAGACGATAAATTACGCACAATCGTTTTCATGATAAGAATAATAAGGATTATTGTGTACAAACAATCAATCATAATAATTTTGTCAATCAGCTGTTCCATATCTTCAGTGTTTATCATTAATTAAACGCAAGGAAAACTTGCTTCTGTATCGTGAAATCATATCACGATTGCGTGCTTTCCTTCAAAACACATACTACATTATGCGTGAATCATTTCGTATAATCTCCTGATAAACTTCACAATGACATTGAATCGGAACGAACAGACTGTACTATCTTCACAATTTTTTATCGTCAATTGCCGATGACACTTATTTTGCGTGTAATAATAAATGGAAATTTTCAAAATTTTGAAGAGATAAACTTAGCACGCAGTTTCTATTTGTTGGATTTTCTTTAAAAAAAAAGGATTTTGTGTTGAGTTTCTTTGTGCTTTTCAGAGAACGCGCAGGAAATATACCTTTCCCATACTCTGTTAAAAGATTTAAAAAAAATAATAATAAAGATTTCACTGCGACAGGCAGCGATTTCCGAATTTGCAACAAACACACACGAAACGTTGCAACAACGTTGATTAATAAAAAAAACCACCCGCAGCGGTCCGGTGAATACGGCCCTGCACAGTTTATTAGTGTGGTTCACGCGTGTGTACATACACGCGCATCGCGACAATGGTGTGACGAATCATGTGACTTACCGAACGTTACCGAGTGGTACCGAATCAACACCGACCACACCGTGGCTTCTCTCCGTCGTCGGATGATTTTCTTCGAGGAATCGGCTGCGATTCACCGTTGACCGTCGATAGTGCTCGGTTGTTTTTCGAGATAGTCTATTATCTGTAAAGTCAAAGTTGCTTTTGTGTCGTAGATTCTCCACGCAAATTGATTGCACGCGGATCTAAGCGCTCGTCGAGCGTTTTAGTGCGTCGTCACGACTATTTTTCGGACCCATCAAGAGAGTTATTGGCAAAAACATGAAGGAGATACTAATCGCGCTCTGCGCGATTTTAGCTGGTGAGTTGCTCATGATGAAGGTCGACGTCTTGTTTATTACGAGTTCGAGAAAGGTTTCTTTGTTCGTCGGACAATGATTTCCCAGCGTGACATCCCTTGAATTATTCGCCAAACATTTATCGCGGACAATCTCCGTTTAATGCGCACTTTATCCTGGGATGTTTTTGTTTGCCACTTGACAGCGCTCTCGCGTCTTCTATACATATGTTTTGATATTATAAGCACTTGGATATTTCTAGATTCGGCTATGGAAGGAGTGTTTATCTTCGACCGTGTCACATATGGCAGTTTATGACTCTTTGCATTCCTCTTCTCAGTCTTACTTTTTTTTTTTTTTTTTTTTTTTTTTGCTATGAGTATCTTGCTTTCGTGTCACCATACATTCTTCTGTCATTCGCCGGCTGATCATGCGTCTATTACTCATTGTAAAGCAACTCTGAAGTTTCTAGGATGACTAGGATGACTCAGACTTTTAACTTGTAATCTGTCAATTTAAGTCGAATCTGAAACATTGGAAATATAATTCACAATATCATAGCAATAATGATGATGTTTTTCTACATTTTTTTTTTCGCAAATACAGCTGTATGTGATAATTAGATTTGTGTAAAGCAGATTTAAAACCTTTGGATCTTTAAGGTTTTTATTTATTTTGTTGAATAAACAGCTGTGAGAAATTGAAAATACTTAACTTTCTATTACAGATTTTTTAGTATTTTTAGCTTCAACAAAACAAAAAACAACAAAAGCTTTTTTTATTGTATCAAAAGCTGAAGCTAAAAATAATTTATATACTTTTATGTTGTAAATTTTTAAAACAATATTTTTGATATTGATATGACTAGAGGAATTATAAAAATTTTTTTATACTTTGTGCATTGTTTTTAGTCTCCACAGCTATGGTGGTCATAAATGCTGAACCAAAAGAGAAGGTGGATCATCTTTTAGGTGCGGATGAATGTACATGGGGTCCAAGTTACTGGTGTCAGAATCTAAAGTAGGTTTTTAAATAAAAACTTTCTTTGTTAAAAGAAGGTTTTTATGAAGACTAAAAAGACTAAAAAGACAAAATTGTTTGTAAAACATTTTTAAAAATTATCACAGTTTCAACTGTGTTATTCTTTATCATATGTGTCTTATAATAACATCTGATAAATTAATGCTGGCATTAATATTAATATTAAAGGGTTGCCAAAGGATGCAGTGCTGTCAACCACTGTATTCATAAGTGGGAAAAAATGGAAGTTCCAGAGGATGATGATGATGTGTGTGGAATTTGTAAAGATATGGTTAAACAAGCAAGAGATCAGTTAGAAAGTAATCAAACTCAACAAGATCTGAAAGATGTGTTTGAAGGCAGTTGCAAATTAATTCACATTGAGCCAATTGTCAAGGAATGCATCACTATTGTTGATGAATTCATTCCCGAACTTGTGGAAACATTGGCATCTCAAATGAATCCATCTATGGTCTGTTCAGTTGCAGGACTTTGTAACAGTGCTCATATTGATAAATTGCTTGCTGAATATCAAGAATCACCAGAAAAGGTAACATTATGAATTATACAGTTTCGGATTGATGAAATAATGAATAACTAATAATCTTTAACGTTTGCACATGTATATGTTTCCTAAGTGATTTTTAAATGTTTAAGTTTTTTTAATAAATATTTTTAAATAATTTTACAAGATTAGATTACTAGGATTTTTTTCCTGTATAACCAGCACTTAATAACACATTTCTACACATTTATTTTTTACTTACTACAGCAATAACATCTATAAACGTCGTGTTAAATGTTATCTATGTTGCTATAAATGGCAACATGTATATAAGCATTATATGCATATGTCAATGCGATTAAAAATGATTGTTGACGAAGAGTGTTCTTATTTTTAGAAGGATGAAACAAAGTCAGTTGTATTGAAGAATGATGAGATTGAACCTGACGAATGTACTAAGTGTTATACAATAGGAAAGTACATGGAAAACAAATTACATAATACGCCACAAGAAACAATGCTCACTCAATTTTTACGTGTTTGCGGTCAACTTAGTTCTTTCTCGGATTCCTGTGCAGCTATTGTTATAACTCATTTTCACGAAATTTATGATCATCTGCACAACAATTTTAATGCAGAGAATTTATGCCATTTATCCGGACAGTGCAGCAGCAAATTCCACAAACATGAAGACGATGATGTGGTAAGTATATTAATTACGTGCAAAATGAAAAATGAACAATTTTGCTAAAAACACTTGTTGTAAATTAGGTCCCGAAGGTAGAAATAACTCCGTTGTCGAGTGTGGGCATGGTAGAGGTTGGCGATGATCTTCCTTGCAAGTTATGCGAACAGCTTGTAGGTCATTTAAGAGATCTTCTAGTTGCAAACACGACGGAACTTGAATTTAAACAGGTTCTTCTGGGTCTGTGTAAACAGACTAAGTCTTTTGCTGACGAGGTTTGTAGTGTAAAGTTATATATTGTTCTATAAATATATGTATAGTACATGTATATATTCACAAAAATATGTTTTACACAGTGTTCAGAAATAGTCAAGGAATATTACCCAGAAATTTATGAATATCTTACTCGAGGATTGAACACCAATCTTGTTTGTCAGTTATCTGGAATTTGTCCTTCACCTGGCAAAATGGTATGAAAATATTAAAACCACGTGAGAACATAATGTTAAGAGAGAATTGTTTTTGTAATGATCTTTTTTAAATAAAACTTTAGAGATAATTAGTTATGTTTTTTAAATTTTTTAAACAAAACAGGGACCAATCTGGCCTTTACTTCCGGAGGAATCGGCGAAAATAGGATTGAGCATATTAAATAGTAAACAGAAAAAAGATGTAGTTGCTATCGGCAAGAAATCGGAAGCTGAAGAAATGCAATTGCCGATTGAGAGAATGATGCCTTCTTTGCTTTTATCTCCAGATTATGGAAGCATTGAAAACAAGCAAACATGTGCATTGTGCGAATATATATTACACTATATACAAGACACCATTTCAAGTCCCACAACTGAGGTAATACATTTAAAACTATAAAATTCTCTGAGAGAATATACGTAAGTTTACACAAAAATCAAATGCAAATTTATTCAAATTTCAGGATGAAATAAAAAAAACTCTTGAGAAAATCTGTAAGAAGGTACCCTCTATTAAAGGTAAATGTGAAGAATTTATAGAGACTTACGGAGATGCAGTTATGGCCATACTTATACAAGAAATTGATCCGTCAGAGGTAAATGTACTTTTTGTATTTGGAGCGTAAAATCTCTCAATGAAGTATAATGAAGTATATCTTAACATTCGATTATTCTGTATCTCAAGGTGTGCCCTATGATACACGTTTGCCCATCGAAGGAATTGTTGAACATGTTCGAACAAATTCCCAAGAAATTTAAACTTGAATCCGTTGCGGAAGAACATGTTGAAGATAAGCCAAATTGTCCGCTCTGTCTGCTTGCGGTAACGCAGATTTACAACGCCATTAAAGCGAACAAAACTGAGGTACCAATGTTATTAATTGTATTTGCGACAACTATGCAAATTACGTGGCTTGTTTTTCTGATGTGTAACACATATTACAGGCAAATATTGAGGCCGAGTTGGGCAAATTATGCGATCATTTACCACACAGTTTGACCAAACAGTGCACAGATTTTGTGAAGGCATACAGCAAAGAGCTTATAGAAATGCTGCTTGCAGATCTGACTCCTCAAGAAGTGTGCACTTATCTTAAGTTGTGCGATGACACCAAGAATCCTGGTCCGAAGCGTATTTCTCAGAGAGAACAAGAAATACGTAAGTTGTCTAAAAAAATTTTTTTTTATAAATGATGAGAAAAACTAATGTTGTTGATTTTTTGATAAAAATATCTGCAAAAAAAGTAACTTGATTTTGTTTTTTGAATATTTCAGTAACCAATGAAATATCTCAGTATCCATTGTACGTGGCTGATCCGAAAGATGTTTTGGATGATGGAATTTGCATAATGTGTGAATTTGCAATGCAATATCTTGATAAAGAGATTGGTGATAAAAAGTCGCGAGATAAAATTGAAAGAGAGATTCACAGTATGTGCGACCATCTACCAAAAACAGTTTCTAAAGAGTGTAACAGCTTCGTAGACAAGTATGCTGATGCCGTACTGAGCATTCTTACGAACAATGTTAGTCCTAAAGAAGTTTGCACTATGCTTAGTCTCTGTAAAGTCAGTATAAAGCAAATTCGAGGTAATAATGATTTCAGAGATATTAATTGATCGTTAATTCGATCAGTGTTATATTTAAAAATGTGTATATGATTGATTTTCTTGTTTGTCGATTTTGCAGAATCTGTAACAGAATGTGCCTTATGTCGAGCAATTATAACTCAAGTTGACAAATTGTTATATAATTCAAAAACCGATGCTGAAATCGAGGAAGTGGTTAAGAAGGTGTGCAAATATCTGCCATCGGAAAAACAACCTGAGGTAATAATTGATTTATTATGAAATAATTTTTTGACAAACGAAATATTTAAAAAAACACAAAACTTTACGTGCAGTGCAATAAAATGATTGATATTTATGGACAAAGTATAATAAACATGCTGAGAGCCCATATGGACAGTGAGAAAATGTGCGAGAAGATGGCTTTATGTTCTTCCAATGATTATTTTGCAATGTCATTCAAGAGTTCGCGTCAATTTCGATCGATCAACGAACTCAAAAAGTGCACATGGGGCCAATCGTTTGTGTGCGAAAATGAAGAACTTGCTAGACTCTGTAATGTGAGTATACGAAATATTTATTAAAAATTAATAAATCTTAAATATACTAAAATATTTGATTGATATATTATAAATGTACTATTATACTAATTTTTTTCTACTTTATCGATTTTTTGTGCTAGGTTACAAAGCAATGCGAAGAGTATCGCAAAAATGGCGAAGTTGTGTAAATTGTATTAATTCCGAGTGACGGCTGCAAATTCGACATCTAAGCAGCAGGGAAAACAAAAAGGAACTAAAAAAAAAAAAAGCTACGATGCTTTTCGGTTAAAAGGCTAGAAGATTCTAAGAGCCTGAGCACAATAGAGAAAATATTAGAAATAAAAATTGGAAATAAAAGTTAAATGTACTGTACAATGACAAAAAATAAAATATAACAAATACAGAAATTGTCATGGCTGCATGATATACAGCCTATATTTATATATATGTTATATTTTGTTTTTTCGCATTGTGCATTACATTTAAACTCTGTTTTTAATTACTATTCCTAATATTTTCTCTATTGTGCTCAGGCCCTAATTGTAGCAAATAATCTATTTCATGTTACGTATGATATTATATCAATCCTTATACTAATCTCTATATCGAAACACTCGAATAACATTGATGATCTGTGTAGATGCGACAATCGCCATGCGATTTTTAAACCACAAATGTTGCATATAGTTTGCGATACTTAAGCTACGTTGACATTTTCAAAAAGTTTTTAGCTTTCTATAACTTGCAAGAACTCTTTTTTGTCTGACTATGTAAAAAAAACTTTGTAATCTGACTAGTGGCAATATCAAATCCTAGTGAATTTTATATTTATTTTTTGGGTGAATTCTTTTTCTTGGAGCTCCACAAATTGTTTAGTTTGCATTCAACTGTGATAATGATAAAAAATCGTTGCTTTGTGAATTGCATGCTCCTTAAGTGTGATTTATTAAGATGTACCATTTGTATTTCTTTAATAAAGATGTTCTTGAGATATTTCTATTGAAAGAAAACTTCAAATTTGTAATTTCCTCCACTTTGATTCTGCAGGATAAATCTATTGATAAGAGATTTTAATTAAAAAGAGGTCTTCCAAAGGTTCATCCAGCATTATAAAACGCGGCTACAGATCTCACGGAACTGACTAATCACGTTCATCAAATCAGCTAATTAGTCAACATGATTAGTTAATTCCACGAGACCTATGATTCTTGTCTGAGTTTTGTGTAGATGGGCCTTAACGTGATGTGAGTGTTTTTCAGCTACGTACACACAGGCAACACTGTGTAACACAGTGTCCATTAATAAAAAAGTGAAAGAGGAAGAAGTGGAAAAACAACACGTAACTATAGTCACGTGATTTTGCTGTAGTCACGTTTTTAAAGGCACGTGACTACAGTAACGTCACGTGACAAGAAGGAGTAGAAATCCAACACACAAAATGTAAATTTAACCGATCGAGATGTAAATTTAACCGTTCAAAATGTTAACTCAACTTTTCAGTATGGGAGCAGAATAGAATCGCACACACTGTGGATATAGCGCACTCAACAATTGGTCTCCTGAATCCGCGTCCAATCTTCTCTCTAATTCATTTCTAATGATTTTCACTTGTACATGCGCCATTACGATCTTGTTTGATGTAAATCGGCCTAACGTTTGCGCGCCGCTCTTGTTGCGTGATTTCACTAAGCGCCATATTTGTGGCCTGGGCTTCTTCGCGTGTTTGTATATGTATGAAACCTTGAACAAGTCATATCTGTAAGGAAATTGTATTTTATACTTGACAGACCTATAAATAGTGTGTTTTGCACTGTTTTAATTTTGTTCATTATTTGTAATAAATAGAGAAAGTCATCCTCAAGTGGCGCTTGCCAACTGAGCGCAACTCGTTTTGTCGATCGCGAGTTTCTTGGAGCACATCTTCAAGATGATGTACACAGTAAGAAAACACATTCTATTCCGTCTCGTGAATATGTTTTGATTTTGACGTAATTTTGAGTAAATTTAAAAATAAAATTTTCTCCAAAACAATCAGGAGAGAAATAAGTTTCATTTTCGGTACTGAAAATTGGTTTTTTTTAGCAAGAAAAAGCATGCAAATAAGTGGTTTATTTTTTTATTTACTTTCAAGGAAACTTATTTTGCTTCAGCAGTTTTAATTTGAAGATTTTATAAAGACTGCATATAGATAAAATGTTAATCTTTATACTCTTTAGGGGACAACAGCCTCCCAAGATACGAGGTTCAGCGACAAGGAAAAGAAGCTCCTTAAACAAATGAAATTTGGAGACTCATTAACACAGAAGGTATGTTTTATTTCTGTAGAAAAAACATTAATTTAAATTTTTTAATTATAATGTAGAAAATATATAAAAATATATGTTGTATACAAATATAACATGTACAATTTTAACATATAATAGGTGGATATGAGCAAAGTAAAACTTGATGTGATTAAACCATGGATTACAACAAAGATCACTCAAATTCTGGGCATGGAAGATGATGTTGTGGTAGAATTTGTGTATAATCAACTGGAAGAGAAGGTGAGAAATGCTTATAATTGCCTTAATTGAGTAAAATTAAGCAAGTGTGAATTAGAGATAAGTTTTTTTACTGCAGTAGCTTGTGAAAAAGCAGTAATATCAATAATGAGTTCACTTGGCTTTTTCCCCTCATCATTATAGGAAATCGATAAATAATCATTATTTCAGCACGATATTTTTATACAAATTGTAAGTGTTTACAATCCAAATTTTGCACAATGTGCTGAGTTTGGATAATGTAAAGCAATGAGGCAGATTTGTCTCTAACTATATACATGTCACATTAATTTTCTTTTTTTCTTTTTTTTTAATTTCATAAGTTTCTCATCCTTTGGTATCCCTTGTATTTTAATCAGCCCATGTATTCCTCTCCAAGCATATCCACTTTCAACAAAAAAAAAAAGTGATCTGTAGCTGAGCCATATCAAATTGTGCAAAATTGAGCTTTATCACATGTGTTTGAATTCCCCGTTAGTATAAGTAGAGACCGTTGGTGGGGCTCAACCCTTTTGTCCAAATGGCATTCGGATGTGCTCCTCTCTACATCCGATTGGCCGCCTTTCTATCAGCCGTCAACGCTAGCATCAGCTGTGGTGGCAGTTGGTATTTCAACGTCACCTTAGAACCGTCGACAAATCTTCAGCTTCAGCAGCCGCGGTTGCTACACGTCGACAACGTTACCGTCGTGGCTACTTCCATCGTACTTCCGGTTCCTGCCATTCGCGTCCCTCTCCGGAGCTACATCGCCAGTCCCAGCTGTCGATGTTGCTGTTGCAGTATCGACCATCGTCGCCTGCAGAGAGGACTCATCACTTTAGTTCCTGCGACTACCTCGCCCGAGGTGGTCTGTCGTCGTGACGTGGATGACATCGCAGCTTTCGCCCAAGGATCATCACACGATGACATCGTCCTGCTTGATCATCACTTCCCGAGACGACAACGCGTGTCAATCAGGGACTTTTGGAATCATCGTCACCATGCCGCGAGTTACATCACTGGATTCCCCGCTGGAATCACAGTCATCAACATCTAAAAGCGAGGTCGAGCGTCGTCCTGGCCTGCTACTTGTCGTCAAAGCGCAGTTTACAACGGAATCGGATATTCTTCGGGGTACACATGTGGTCACGTAGACACGTCGACATGATTGAGGCGAAAACGGCGCCCGGAGGTATCACTGCAGTAATCACAGTTTGACTCTTTGTCACTGACACAGGTTGGTGAAAAGGTGATCCTTTTTTACCACATTATCTCCGATTTTCAGGTTTCGTCGGATATATATGATATACATGAATTTATATGCTTCTCTCATTTCAGCCCATCTTAATGATAACAAGCGTGATCAATGAATGGTCTATTTTGTGCTATTTGAGAGATTAATTAATATATCCTAATTCTCTTTTTATCTCAGGATTTAATTTTTTAATACAGGTATAAAAATATGCGGTCGGCGGCACTCGGTGGTAAGAAATGCTTAGAAATAAAAGAATAAATATCTGCTTTTTCGAGGGGGAAAAGCAGTTCGTAACAGAATAAAGATATAAATGTTTGCCAAGTTTGTCTAAAAATTTCATTCATATACGAAATTAAAAGTGACACTATTTCTGTTTCGATGTTAAAGCCTATTTATATTTATAGAAAAGTTTTTTGTTGCTCTTACGGAAAAGTAAATTTTTGCACTATGTATTTTACAGTTTCCCGACCCGCGAAAAATGCAGATTAACCTGACAGGTTTCCTGAACGGCAGAAATGCCCGTTCTTTCATGGGCGAATTATGGGACCTTTTGGTCTCGGCTCAAGAAAGTGTTACGGGCATTCCCGAAGCATTCTTGCAACAAAAAAAGGATCAGATTAAAAAGCGTTTGGTAATCATTTATGTTTTATATTTAAATACACATTGTAATCGATAACGACTTTTGTTTGCACATAGCAATAGTGTTTTTTATTGTTAAGTATATAACTTTACGTTTATTACCTATAAGTATCTCTTGAAGTTTTCCAATACTTGAACAAACAATTGAATCGTTACATTTTGACATTCAGTGAAATATAACCAAATAGATGAAGTGTCGACACACACTTTTAATTGTACTTTTTAACCATAAACAAGCAATAAGTTTTGTCACGAATATCAGCTTACATGTTGATATATTGTTGAATTAGGAAGAACAAGAGAAACTTCAGGCGACGTTGGCAGAAAAAGAGAAAGAAGAGAAGCGCGAAAGGGAAAAGGATGAGAGCGAGAGTAAAGTGAAAAAAGAAGATAAAGATAGCGGCTCTTCGAAAGACCGTAGAAGGGATCGTAGCAGAGATCGTGACAGAGACCGGTATTGTCATCAAAAGTTTGTGTATATGCTGTTTAAAATTTATTTCGAACAAATTATAAATTCTTGCATTATTTTATATAGGAACAACAGGAGCAGATCACGCGATCGACGTAGAGATCGCGATCGATCAAGTCGAAAGAGAAGATCTACTTCGAGATCGCCAAGTAAAAGTTCGTCGAAAGATAACGGGAAAGATATGCCTGAAGCCAAGGTCGACCGAGAAGATTCACCACAACCGGAAAATGCCATACCCTTGATGCCAGTTAAAACTAAACCGTAAATAATTTGTATTAGCGCGCATAATTGAATTATTTATTTTTTTTTTTTGCTTAAAAACAGAATTTGGAAGAATATTACGTACTTGCAGGGAAGCCGCAGTAGCAATATCGAGATTGCAAGCAAAATTGATGAGCATTGCTGATGGGAAGAAGAAGAACAATCGCACGCCCTCACCGGAATCGCTAGACAAGTCGGTGAAAAAATCGCGATCTGAATCGAAATCACCAAATCGTTCCAAGAAATCTCGATCCAAATCGGCCAGTCGAGATTCAAAAACGCGCCGATCGCGATCTCCCGCTTCGAAGTCGAGACGTTCTCGTTCCAAGTCGAGATCAAGAAGATCGCGGTCTAAATCACGAAGATCAAAGTCGCGCTCGCAGGATCGTTCGAAATCCAGACGGTCCAAGTCCAAATCGAGATCGCGTTCGCGATCGCATTCACGGTCCAAGAAGTCGCGATCTAAGAGCGACGACAGAAGCAAGTCGAGGAAATCGAGATCCGCCTCGAGCGACTCGAGATCGACCAAGTCCCGTTCGAAGTCACCGGATAAACGGAAGACCAATTCCACTGGCGATTCAAATAGAAAGCGCGACGGTAGCACGAGTAGCAGCTCGGAATCTGAAGAAGATAAAAATGCCAAGGACAAGAACGATTTTGAGATACGGAAGAAGAAAGATGGTGTACAGGCGAAGAGATCTTATCGCAAGACTAACAAAGACGACAGCGGCAGCGACAGCGACTCTAGTCGGGAGAGAAAATCAGCCCCTAAGAGGAGAAGTCCTTCTCCGCGTAAGGACAGAGGGCGGTCCAAAGATAGAGATAGGAATAGATCACGAGATAGATCACGAGATCGATCACGAGACAGATCGCGAGATAGATCACGCGATAGATCGCGAGATAGAAACCGGAGGTAAGATTTATATGTTTGCTCTCTTGACCTTGTGTTTAGAATTATATTTTTGTTATTTTTATTAATTCATCTTACGTGTACAAAGTTTGTGAGTATCTTTCGCGATGTTTCTTTCTTCAGAAGATCAGTGGATCGAGAGCGCGACAGGAGACGAGAGCGAGAACGCGAGAGGGAGAGAGAAAGGGAGAGATTGGATCGGTACAGCGGCAGCCGCAGCATGCGACCACCTTCTGTTCGCAGACCGCCTAATAGGCGCAGGTAGATATTTGATTAATTTTTCTTTTTCCATATAATCAAATAATTTTTTATCTTTGCATTGTGTGCATGGAAAATTGTTTTGACAGTCCTCCTCGCAGGAGTCCGGCAAGATATCGTCGTAGATCGCCGAGCCCCGATGACAGACGACGCAGGAGATCGTTGGATCGTCGACGACGATCATCGGAGAGACGCGACAGACGCCGGTCGCCGGATCATCGTGGAAGCCGACGTCGCTCGCCGGATGGACGAGATCGATCAAGCAGGTACGATAGATCTTCCTCACGCGACAGATCAAGTAGACGGGAGCGTTCCAGAGAACGACGGAATAAGGATCGTCGATCTAGATCTAGAGATCGTAGATCGAGATCCTGGGATCAAAGGTCATCGGTGGATCATTCGAGAGACGGAAAGCGATCTCCCGATCGTTCAAAGGATGCCAAGGACAAGACAAGGGACAGGAAAACGGATGAGAAAACTAAAAGAGAGTCTGATACAGGCTCGCGAAAAGAGTTGCGAAACGGCCGGTCTAAGTCGAGTAGCTCGGAACGTAGCAAGAGTAGTTCCTCTAGCAATATGGATGAACCACTTAGGTACGTAAACAAAATTTGTCTTTTTTTCCACTTTGGACGTGATGTACTATCTTTTACAGAGTCTTCTGCGACAGGTGGATAATAAATCGGCAGATACTCTCGGTCGTGATGTGTCCCGTTTGTTAGATGATTGTTTTACAAGAGAGACGTTTCTTTGTTTTGTGTTAACAGGAAATCGCTCGAACGCAAGACATCACAGGAGAAGCGAGAAAAAGAACGCGAACACGTGGAGGACGCTAAGAAGAAGGAGAAGGAAAAGGAGAAAATAATGAAAGAAGAAACGATTAAACGGCCGGAGAAGGAGATAAAGAAGACGGAATCTGTTGCTGTGAAAAAGCCTGAGCGCAGTGTTTCTCCCAAGAAACTACAAGCTTCATCGCTACCTATTACTAGACACAGAGTAAATGTCTGTTTATTTTGCGTTTATTTTTAGATAGATAATAAAGATTAATTTTAAGCGTTTATACCTAACTTTTCAGTTTTCGAAGAGTCTATCGCGTACACCGTCGCCTTTCAAGAAAACCGAAGATATCGTGGCAGCTAAACTTAAACAATCGATCAAGTACGTGTTGCCAACATATTTTGTTTTAAGAATAGAGAGTTTATCATCAGCACTACATGTATTTTTTTTCCAGAGAGGATACTTTGGAAACACCAAAGGTTGCGGAGACGAACTTTGTTTCTGTGGACGCTTTCCCTCTTAAGAAGGATGACAAAGCAGGGAAACCGATGAAATTGGTAACGGAAGAGAAAAAGTCTGTCCAGAAACCGTTGGAACCTTCACTGGTGAAGAAACCTATGGAACTGACGAAGAAAATCAAGAGAGAGAAGCGTGATGGTTCCACTGACAGTGAAGATAGCGATACAGAAAGTGAGAGACTGATATCTTTTACGTGCGTAATATTTGTAATTTATTAAGTTCGATTTTTATAATTTTCATTTTACAGGTAAAAGAAAATCAAGAAAGATGGAAAAGCCAAGAAAGTCTAGAAAAGCGTCATCGGATGAAGATAAATCTGACAAAAGCAAAGCTGGATCTAGTTCTGACTCGGAAGATGACCGAAAGCATCCAGATAAAAATAAAAAAACTAGAGATACTAGTCGTACCGGTAAGTTTGTGACGTGTATTGTCATTAAAAAATATATCTACAAAATTGTGTGCTTTAGTGATAATATATAAACAATTTACTTATATATAGTAACAAATATATATTAAATTTTTTTAATTGTTTACTTTGTAACAGGTTCTATAGATCGCAATAAAGATAAAAAGGACAATAGAAAACGTGAAATTATCGAAAGTGATTCACGAAAACGATCAAGAAAGGAAATAGAAGAGGAATTGAAAAAATCGAAACGATTGCGAAGAGATTCTTCGTCGGGTGAGGACGAACAGAAATCTAAGAGGGGCAAGAACGACGATGATAGATCAAAATCTCGAAAATCGAAGAAAGATTCGAGTTCTGACGAAGAGCCGAAGAAGAGAAAAAGAAGAGACACTTCGTCCGATGAGGAAAAAGGTAGGCAACGTAAAGTGAGAAAGGACTCGACAAGTGAGGATGAATCCAAGTCAAAATCAAAAAAACTCAAACGAGACTCTAGCTCGGAGGACGACGATCCTAATGATAAGGATGCAAAAAAGAAAAGGAAAAACGACGACAGTTCAGACGATGAAAAAGTGAAGAAGAAGCGTAAGAAGAAAACAAAAACCAGTACCAGCGAATCGGAGGTATAACCTCAAAACAAATTTTATACAAGTAATAATAACGATAATAATTTTGTTGACGTTTATTATAAATTTTGTTTTACCTTTTTCAGGAAAGTGAGGTAGAAGAGAAAAAGAAAAAGAAAGAGAAGAAACATAAAAAGCATAAGAAACACAAGAAGCACAGGAAACACAAGAAGAAGAAAGTTGCGGATTCGGACGAGTCTGATGCAAGTGAAGGCAATACCGAAGAATTGGAAAAAAAACTTCGTGAAAAAGCGCTGAAATCTATGAAAAAAGGACATAGCATTGAGAGAAGTGATTAAGGATCAAATTTTCTAAATGAAGGAAATTTCTTGCGCATATATATATACATATATATATATATATGTCTCTAGAATTGGTCTCTAGTATTTGTATCATGAATACGAACATCCATTATTTTATATTGCTAATTGGATTATTTTTATGTATGCATCACTCAATCCCTCCCTAACAAGATCAAATAACATTCGTACAGTATAAATCTTTTCTTTTTTTTTTTTTTTTCCCACAAATGTATCGAAAGCTTACATTTCACTAAGGACAGAATTGTGCTTGACATCTCAGTTTCTTGTATCTCCATTGACGGTATGTATAATGTATTATTGAAAAGAACGCGCGTTCGCGTTTTGAGCGGCGCTCTCACCGCTTTAACCGTCTATATTGCTCATTAAATGTAAAACAAAAATAGTCGCTTAATCTCTGTGAGCGCCCAAACGCATCACGTAGTGATACAAAAATTGACACTCGTTTAGTCGAATTTGACATATGAAGTTGGAACAGTCTAGCAACAAGATAACACTTGTTCACTTTTTCAGTTCCTAATCACACACATATTTGAATTGAAATTTGACTTTGTGTACATCGATTTGTTCACTTTAATTTGTATAAAGCTTAGTTATACAAAAAAACGCACTGCTAGAAAATAAATAGTATACTGAATGATGTGTTATATATATATGCATATAAACTTGTAAAAGGAGAAAAACTTATAAAAATATATTTCACCGAGAACCTCATACTCTTGATTAATAAACATACACAGGTACATGTATAGTTGTTTTCGTAGTACAAAACACTTCTTGGATTTTTTTCTTAGATATTTTAGAATCGCACTTATCGAGTTTTCATACAGACGTAATTACGAAATCCGAAAATGAGATTAAAAATAAAATTTGTATTGTTCACAAAACAGACATTCAAGATGATAGTTTGTTTATTAAAACTTTATTAAATACACATAAATATGCTATAAATTTTTTATCATAGATTCTACATCTGGTAAACAACATAATGTGCTATTTACTTGGCCAAGATTGATAAAATCTCCATTTAATGATATAGAATCTAATTTTGTAGCTATTAGATCCTGAAACATAATAAAATTGATATTATGTATTATGTAAGTTTTATATATACAGAGTTATTACTACATAACTTACTTGTTGATATTTCTGTTGTAAGCTAGCATTAACAAAAAAACTTATTTCTCCGAGTCGCATTCTCACTCTACCAGACTTCAAAATCTCAAGTTTGCCTATATGACCGCTATTTAAATTATTTAAAAGACTATATTCAGCTTTTTCTTTTGTTTTTGTAGTACTTTCATTTTGAGTATTGGAATTACTTGGTCGTGTCGATCTCAGTTCTTCGCTACTACAGTTTAGATTTTGAAAAGTTGCTGGAAACTAATTAACAAATGGTTAATTTACTTTGACAATCTTATTAAAAACACACCGGTGTTCTCTTACCTGTATTAAAGTAAAAGAATTAGTATTATTTTCAATTAATTGAGGAATGGTAAGTCTGTTTGCAAAGTGTTTATTCTCCTTCTTTATAGATATAACTGTAACAGAAACAATTATGTGAAATCCAGATGATATTACAAAAAATATCAAATATTTACCTTTACCACTTTCTGAAATAGTTGGTTTCTGTTCAATTTCATCGTCAGTCACTATCTCTGTTTTATTAACAATCCTGGGTAATTCAAGAAAATCTATTTTTTCGTCAGATTCTGGTCCATCATCAATAAAGTCGTGTAACAGCTCCTTCAACTTTTTCTCATCTTTTTCTTCATTTGCTATTTTATTTAAATTTACCTTTGGCTTTTCCATATACTTTCCAATATCCGTTTTATCTCTGTAACTACCGCTTCTGGAACTGCTATCCGATCTCTTGACAGATGGGGTATAAATTCCGTCTGAAAATACACCCACAGACTAAAAACAAGACAACTGTTAGCGATGATTTAGATCGTGTAAGAATACTGGAAAGACATACTAGTTTGTATTTGTATTCACTTGTATTAAATTGGCTTTCTCGCCTCTTCCACGTCCCTTTCCAATTCCTCCTCTCCCTCGCCCTCTTTCGCGATCGCCATCCTTTGATCTCGCGGGCACGTTAACACTGACCTTAGTTGTTGTTGTTTCGCTGAAAAGTCAAATTTTTATCTTTTAATGTCATGCACGCATATCGCAAGAGACATAAGCGTTACTTAGGCAACTTACTCCTTTTTGTTACGTTGCACGTTGACATTTGGCGTGTAAACTTTTGAGCTTTGTTTTTTCTTTGTATTTCCACCTAGAGTCCAGTCACGCATGCGAAAAGATGTTAACCTCGTCGTTGAGGGTAAATTTGATTCCATTTTGATACCAGGTTCTAATTTGACACGAATAGTGTCAGACTGTTCAGTCATGTTCGATAATCAGCTTTTTTTTTTCTCTCTTTTGAGATATCGAACAGAACACCGCGGAATCCGCGACCTCGATTTTCAAGTCGAAGTACTAACACATTGCGACTCCCATACGATGTGTATACGATCGTCACGGGATGTCGCGCAGTTTTCAATCATCAATGCGAGGAAAAACACGAGATCGAAATGAGCGAAATATCACCAGATGTCACTGTGCGCACGCAAAAAATGGTGGATCAATTTTTCTGCATCTATTTCCGCTTGTTTCGTTGAAACAACAACTGTGATCAATTCACACAATTGCTCGGTTCTGTGGTTTTTTTATTGACCAATCGCGTTTACATGTTAGATCGCATGCGAGCACCACAGCGATTTGAGAACCAACCGCATTTATCGAAGCGACCAGAAACGATTTAATCGATACTATCGAATTTCGATATTTCGAGAATCATCGATTAGCGAGATACATACATCGCGCTTCGATAGTGCGCTTCCAATTCGCGGTTGGTAGCGAACGTCGCGACAAACCGCACAAGTGAATTCGAATTCGCTCCGTGTTTTTCTCCGCTATTGTTGCCGTTCAAAGGTGAAGTTTGTGAACGAGGCGTTTACGTCTGATGGAGCAGATTCGTTTGGTTGTTTGATGGCGTCCACATTAAACGCGAACCAAGACGATCGGAAGATCATTAAATACCACGCCGACATTGCGACTGCGGTAATAGCGATCCATTGGCGTTTTTGTGCCAGTTGACGGAAAAAACGTTCTCGCGAATATTTCAAGGTATTTTCTCATTCCAAGTATACAAAAAATAATTAACAAATACGCGATTAATACTATTAGGTATACTTGATTGCTTTGTTGCAATATTGTATTATTTGTACTTTTTAATATGAATATGTGCGATATGACGAGGTAAGAAAGAGAAGAAAAGGAAGAAAAACGCGGAAAACACGAAATTCATAGAAAATAGATAGCGCTTTACCGCGATCACGTAAAATATTTCTCTGAGTCTTGTTATGTATTTAAAATCATTATCTTTAATTGTATTTGCAAACTTTTGCGGAAAATGCACCGCGATGACTAGCAGATAAGCGCGATATCGCGGCAACCTACACACACAGGGACCGGCGACGTCTGGCGTCATCGGCGACAACGTTTTCCGATTGGTTAGTAGCGTTAGCGACATGGGCAGGAGGAGAGCATAGCCGGCGTAGATGAGGTCATCGTATGGTTTCTTAGCCGCGCCGCGCGCCGGCAGTCGCGACGCAGAGCGCCCGAACGTCGGCTGTTAACGCGTTCCCGCCGCCGGCGCACGCAAGCGAGCGGTGATCCTGCGAACTAGGGAAAGAGCAAAGGAAAGAGAAAGAGAGAAAAAAAAGAAAGATAAAGAGCGTCAGGACATGCGACGACGTGCCACGTGCCACGGCGCCGTGCGTTTCAGCGTGTCTCCAAGTACGCCCAGATCAACATCCTCCGACAAGGAGGTGAAGTCGCCTTACGATCGTTCGTTTTCTCCGTTGATCATTTTTCTTTTTGGCCGCTTGTTAGAAAGGCCCGACTGTGAACTCCGCATCCGGGATGAATTCTCCTGAAAATCCTTCGTATAGTCTCGGAAGGTCCTCCTCGTGAGGATCGCCGGTAACGATCTTCACATCTCGCGCGATCCACAACAAGTGAAACGCAGTCCCCGTTCTCTTAAAAGGCAAAATGAAAAAATTTTTGTCTTTGCGGAATGGTTTAGAGTAAATTAAACGCGGCGTAGAGGGAGAAACAAGTGAGTGAACCTCGTCAGGAAACGAGATGTTTCGAGGAGATCGTTTAATTTTCCGATCAAGAAAAAATGCAAACTGTCAAACTTTCGGAGCAGCGTGTTTTGTTGCTGTTAAAAATGATCTCTTTGACGAGTCAATTCGAACGATGAAAGAAATAAGTTTAAACCAACTTTTGTTTAATCCAAATCTCAATCGAGAGACACGCAAATAGATTATTTATTCCCCCTCACGCAAATTGTGTACGTTTTTCTTTATTTTTGTAATTTCGTACATTGACTTTCGCGTTGATGACAAGCTACGGTGGTCACTAAAATTTCCGCCTTCTCCGAGATGAGTGTGATTTACAATATAGCGAAAACTGCTCATTTTTTGCCTCGCGCGACTGCGCGTTTCCTTTCTATAAATTCCATACGATTATTTTCACAATGCACAGAGCTATTGCGTGGAGCGTAAGGGGCACCGTCACGCATGACAGTCGCACACGGTCGCGTTGCTCGCGCGTCACGAGGCTGAGAATCGAAACCGATGTAAATTTTTCGGTGAGTTCTCGCCGATTTTCATCGACGTCGAAATTAAAATCAAAATTTCTTCGACGAAAAATTAACGAGGTTTTGTATCTTATCTAAAAACATTGTATCCGTATCTTATCTTATACGTAATATTTCGTTTATCTGCGGTCTGCAATATCTCGCGCATCAAAACTCAATTTACCGAAAAATATTAAACGTCAGTTTTTTTTTGCGTCGGTATGTTGTAATTCCGGATTGTGCGTGAAATCACGCGTTTGTGACTACAAAAACAAAAACGTCATCGAAAGATCGTTCCCGCTTACGCACGCGTGAGCGACCTTCGAATTAGTCGAAATTACAATGCGCACGCCGTATGCAATTCTTGAAAACTTGAGGCTTTGCGGAAATGTGAAGAAACGAAGAATTTTAAAGCGCCGCGTCGTTTCCCGACGTCGACCGTAGTAAAGAGAAGAGCGGATTTGTGAAGTTCGGTCAGCCGCGGCGGTTCTTAAACCTGTTCTGTACTCCCCCTCAGACATCGGATACATCGACGGGTTTTCGAGCAGCCGACGTCTCCCGAGAGCGTGTCTTTCCGAAAGAGTCTTCTTTCGCGCGTCGGAAAGAAGCTCTCTCTTTCTCTCTCTCTCTCTCTCCTTTCAGAGAATCCTTTCGTTCAGACTCCTTCGTGGAGTCGCGGAGACAAGTTATCTCGTCTCGAAACGCTTGCGACGCGGTTATCTCACGGTTTCCTCTCTTTTCACGATACGGTATTTTCGAATATTTCACGTACGAAAAAATATATTGCGGTTTTGACATTCACGCAATTGTTTGTCTCTTATCGCATTGGCCTTTATTTATTTTTATTCCCAACGGTAGTAACATCAGATGTATTTGATTATTATTAACAGTGTTTTTAGTCTAAAATATAAAATTTTCAGAAGTGCAAGACACTAGAAAAATAATTAGAGCCGCCGACACGTTGATCGCGCTCTGAGTAAAGTGCTCTGAAATGCCGACGATGACACATCGTGGTGGTTTGCACGTAGATAAAGATTGCGCGTAAAGTCTTGCACGTACGAGCGCATTTTGTGATAACGGTGATATTTCTAAAAAAAAAAAAGTTGTTTTGTTACAACAACGGAAAAATATGCTTGCGATAGCGATGTAAAGGCATTGATTGCGATAATAGTCAACAAATTAAATTCTTCTTCGCACGTATTCTGAGTACGAGACAAGGTGCAATACACGTGCACGAGATGACGCAAAATCTTTTTTAAAAACATCATTTAAGTGCGCGTGACACGTTCAATTTCTTGTTTGATTAAAACTCGTTGTTTGGAATAATAATTCACGCGCGCTCACATTAAAGAAAAAATGTAGAAAACATATTACGTATGAAATACAATCGATATTGTTTTTACAATTGTACGGAATAGATTTTAATAATGTACAGCAAACGTGCGTCTTGGACGTGTATACTTTTCTCTCGATCCGAAAACAAACCTTTCTCCGACAAGAAAACCCTTCGCCAGTGGTAAAAACAAACGCGTGCTCGCGATTAGCACGTGCTCGCGAAGGTCGCGGCGCGCATGCGCGTCCTCGCACGACGCCGCGTTTCAAATCCCGCGGCTCCGCAGTAGAGAAACGCGCGTTCCTCACTCAAATGTCGCACGGCGTCTTTTCGCGAGGAACGACCGAATGAATCGCGAGTCGTTCCGCGCCCTTCGACGAAATCGCTCGATCGCCATTCGATAGAGCTACTACTCCTTCTTCTCGATCCTTTCTATCGTCGTGCGACGATATATTTGTTTGTAACATTCAATATTTAATACACACATGTATTTCAATATTACATTACACAACTAGCGCCGAGTTGCGCTATTTTGCAAATTGCGAGTCTTGAATATATTCGTACGTTAAACACGTACGTTGTTCGCGACTGCAGATGAGCTGTCGAATTGTGATCGATACGACGATAATCGATATGGATTTCATCAATATTTGGTACGTGAACGTCTCTCGATCGCGGAGTGAAAAGTGACACGTATTAGCGCTGACGTAGAAGTAAACTTTTTTATTTATAAACTTATTTATTTTTCTTTATTATTATTATTATTATTATTTTTTAATAATAATCAAGTGCGCGAGTAACGAACTATTGCGTGACGGACTGTGCCATCGGTTAATTACAAGATGAACGGCGTGCAACGGACTCCTGTCGAGGCTTTCGACGCCAAGGTCAGTACTTCATCTCTCTTGACTTGTGCGAATTATCTCGATTGTTATTTTTCTATTTGCAATGAAAATCTCGATACTTCAAACTCCGCTTCTCCCAGGTGTAGATATTCTCGCGCGTTTAATGTTTCACTGTCAGTGTCTTTCTCTCTCTCTCTCTCTCTCTCTCTTCTCCGCGCAGTATTATACCTACAAGCAGTTTGCCAACTGTACTACTACTTTTATTGATCGAGATACTTTAGTTTGCACGCAATTGTATATTTAGCTAACCCACATCTGCGGATCTATATTTTTGTCTGTCCGGATCTAGATTGTTTAAATTACATCATTCTTTGCAAAAAGAAAAAGGGAAAGACAGAGGGAGAGAGAGAGAGAGAGAGAGAGAGATCGCAGCTGTCAGTGATATCAATGTTCTCTCTTCGAAGTTTATATCCGAATAAAAATAAGCACTCTTATTCTCGCGTTACGTGTCCAGCAATTCTGTATCGATCTAAATGCACTTTTGCTACCGAGAAACAAGCGCGACGAGTCGTGCTTTCGCATTCGAAATATTGTGTAAATATCAAACAGGTGTACTTGCAACCGGAAATTTATGCGCGACAATATAATTCGGATAAAGTACATTGAATAAAACCACGAATTTTTTAATTACATATTTTTACGGTGTTTAAATGCGCAAATAAAGAGAGAATATCGCAAAAGAAAAAAATTCCGTATTTTTCCATGACGCTGCACGACTTCACTGAGGGGACTCGCGTATCTCACGGATCGAATCAATGTGTGATTTGAGTTTGTGCA